ATGAGATGATATGCGATGCGGGAATTTTTTCTCTCCTTTTTTTTCTTATATTCGTCTCTTTTTAGAATTCTGGCGATGGCCTCGCCTTCGAGATGCCGAGCAAAGGGCATCGCCAGCCGCCGTGATCCCTCCGGAGACTCGAGGGGCGCCGGCCTGGGCGCGGGGGCGGCGGCGCCCTCGGGAGGCGAGAGCTCGGCGGCGCCTTTCCCGCGGGGTCGGCCTACCTTTGCGTCATGCGGACGACGTGGCGACCTCGGCGTCCGCCCGCCGGATCAGCTCCGCCAGGGCCGTGATGTACGTCTGCGCCATCTGCAGCGTCTCGAACTTGGACAGCTTCCTGTCGTTGCCGAGGGTGGGCACGACCTCGCGCAGCTTCTCGAAGGCGTCGTTGAGGCCGTTCATGCGGCGGCGCTCGCGCGCGTTGGCCGCCAGCCGCCGCTTGCGCAGGACCTCGTTGCCGACCACCTTGGGCGGCCGCCGGCGGATGCGCAGCGGCTTGTAGTGCGTGACGAGCGACGGCGGCGTCTCCGGCGGGATGAAGTGCTCCTGGTGGTGGCCGTCGGCCTCGCCCGGGCTGAACTGCGCGGCGCCCCAGCCGGCGGCGGCGCGGCGCTGGCGGCGGCGCCGTACGAGTAGGCGGGCGTGGGCGCTCAGGTCCGTGGTGGCGGGGTAGGGCCTGGTAGTACTCCAGGTTCGGATAGGCCTCCGACACCAGGTCCTTGGCGCCGCGCTCGGCCGCCGCGCCCGCCCGCCCGCCGCCTGCAGCTCCGCGCCCGGAGAGCACTCGGACGCGAGGTCGTCGGGCGTGGAGCTGTGGTAGCCGTCGCTGCCGCCGTCCACGCACGGCGGCAGGAGGTCGCGGGTCGGGTGGGGCGGCACGCCCGCGGGGGGCGCGAGGGCGGGCGGCGCTCCCTCGGGGCCCGGGGACAGCAGCGCCCCGGATCACTTCCTGGGTTGTAGTTGAAATCTCCGAGACTGAAATACTGGTGCGAGAGGCCGCGGTCGGGCCAGTACTCGCCCGCGTGGACCGACATGCCGGCGGCCGACACTGCGCGCACTCGAGGCACTGGAGTTCACAAGAAACGCACTTGGTCACACACTGGTCGCGGGGCGCACGCACGCAGGAGCTCGCGTCCCCATGCCGTTGCGCCGCGGCACGAGTCCCCGACTGGCGCAGGAGCCGCGGCGGGCGAGCCGAGTCGCGTCTTGTCCCGACGGGCGTCGCGGGCGCGTTATGGGCGCATGGTGCTGAGTCACGGCGGAGGGTCAGTGCTCCCTGCCGGCACGTTGCCAGCGCGACCCGCCAAGGTCAGTGTCAGCCGGCCGGACGCAGGTCACTTCCTGGATGTTGCACAAGACGGCGGCCGCGGCGGCGTCACGGCTACACTGGCGCCAGAGCGCTGCGCCTCCAGACTTTCTAGCGGCGCCACTCGCGCTGCTCCTCCCTCCGGTCGCCTCAGAGCCACTCTCCCTTCGCCGACGCGCAGCCGAGTTTCCCCCACAGCTGCCTCCGCGAGAAGCCCTTCTGGGGCGCAGGCTCAGTGTCAAATAACGCACGCAGTCGCTGGACTCCGTGAGTGCTCTACTGTACTACCAGCGACCGCCATCTTCGCGCCGCTGCTCCAAATCCGCCACCGCTTTCCCTCTGGCTTCGCTCACCGACTTTCCCCTCGAGACCAGACCGCTTCCCTCCTTCCCTTCGCACTTCCCAGACTCCCTTCGCCCAGGACACGCAAAGCCCCTTCCCAAGAGACGCTCAAGAAACCGACAAAGATAACCGACGCCCTTCGCCCGAGAAAGAGCAGGAGAAAACAGCCTGAGCGATCCCAAAGACAGCGGGAAACGGACGATCGCCACTGAAAAATTTCCCAGGACGCGGAAGTCGCGGTCTTCGTTACGGTCACGTGACTCCGCAGCGACCAATCAGAGCCGAGCTGATGGTTACACTGTGTGAAAGAAGACGAAGGATATTTAAATGAATTTGTAAGGATTTCTAGGATTAACGGAATTGCTCAACAATGTCAGGATCCGAAGAGGCGAACGAGACGCTACTGGATAAAAAAAAAAAAAATCCTTCGAAGAAAGAAGGAAAGAGAAGGAATAGGAGGAAAAAAAAAAAAGGAGAGAGAGAGATAGAGAGAGAGAGACGGAAGACACATGATGAAAGCAGACAAGAACATTTATGCTACCTTCTTTTACCTAATTAAGGGGGAAACTCCGACCTATGTAAAACACTCCATTACCTACTCCATCGCACATAATTTCATCACAATAAGAAGGAAAATCTTTATCATAACAATAAAAAAGAAAAGAAAAAAAGGGGGGGGGGAGGGAGTGAATGAGGACGGAGAGATGGAATAGGGTTAATAGGGGAGGAGGAGAAGAGAGGAGGAGAAAGAGGAGGAGGAGGGTGAATAGGATGAGAGGAGGGGAGGGGAGAGGAGGAGAGGAGGAGGAAGAGGAAAGGAGGAGAAGGAGGAGATGATGATGATGGAGGGGG